TGTGATGGTTGAAGGCTTCGAGCAGAAGGCAGCATGGAGTGACGTGGTTTAGTGACTGGGTGGATACTGGTTTGGAGGAACCCTGCAGGGTACATGCTCAGCTGCAGGAGGACTTGGTGGGCTGAACACAGGTTGGAAAATTCCTCTTGTACGGCTCTGTGTGTGCCATGATACGTATCTGGAGAGCCCAAACCAGGTCATTACTTTTGCAAAGCCCCCAAACTCCGATGAGAGCAATACGCTGGTGGTGCAGCCCACAGTGGGGAGTGCTCTTGCCCAAAGTGGCACTGGTACCCTTAGCAGGGACATTGCCTCCCACCAAGCCTGGAAGCTCCTGCTGCTCCCAAGCAAGCAAGGACTGAACCAAACAGGCTTATTTCCCTCGTGCTACATGAGTTCTCCCAAGATGCTGACTGTTTGATGTAGCACCTGGGGAGCGAGCCCCTGGGAGGGTTGGGATGGGTGCTGGGGGGGGCTGTGGGAAGGGCTCGCCCACGCTGGGACACGTGTTGGGGTTGGCACAGCAGCATGTGATGAGGCACAGGGACAGGCTGTGCCATGGGAGGTCTGGGATGTGCCCACCTGGGACTCACTTACGCCCCCAGGGTTAAGGGCTCTCAGCACCCAGCTGCCCTCTGGGAGAAACACGTTTGGGTGCAAAAAGGCCAATCCCTGCTCCTGTGGCTGCCTCTCCCCAGGAGCACTGGCATGGAACAGGTATGGTGGGACCATTTTGGGGAGGTTTGGACATCTGCATTGCTGTGACTGCCCTTTGAGTCATGCATGCCTGGCACCTCCCTGCAGTCTGGGGGGAAAAGCTGGGGGTCTTGGAGGGCAATCCAGCCCCACAGGGCCGAGAAGGGCTGGAGGAAAGAGGCAAAAGAGGGTTTGTATCACTGGATCAACAGATCCACTCCCATCCCAATCCAAATTCTTCATTACCCCCTTTCACCAGCCCATGGGGATTTTCACACAGCGCTTGGCGCCTCGGGCTTGAAATACAGGGACAGGCAGGTGGATCCCCCAGTAGATCAGCCCCCAGTGAGGGCTGTGAGCTGGGACACAGCAGCCCAGCAGCCCTCCCTGCAGCAGACCCCCTTCCCATCTCCACGGTCCTCCCTGCTCACAGCTTTGCCCCGCTTGCTCTCTTTGCAGGAGAAGAAAGGCCAGGAGGTTAAGAAGGGTCCTGAGGTGGAAATCGCAAAGCTGGACAAGCTGCTAAACCTGGTGAGAGAGCCAGAGAGCAAGGCAGGGAAGTGAACGGGGGTAACGATGGCTCTGCCGGGGGCTGCTGGCTGAACAAGCCTGGCTTTGATCGGTGGCTGCTTGGCATGCAAGCCGTGGGCCCCGTGCCGCCCGCTCTTTGCATAGCTGGAACACTCTGCCTCTGTGCCCAGCCAAATAAACGGAGGTGCTGGGAGAGCCGTGGCGTGCAGTCATCTCTGGGGTCAGGCAGACCTCGCCGTACTCGGTCCCCCGGAGCCGCACAGCCCTCAGCTCTTCCCCACCCTTGGCTGGGCTTGCACGGGGTGAGAGGCCCTTGGAGGGCAGGTGAGGGCTGGTCCCACCAGCCCTAGGGAAACCTCAGGACTGCAGCTTGATGGCAGCCAGTCCCACCGTGAGCGGTGGCCAGAGAGACTGAGTATTGAGCTGCAGCCCCACAGCCATTTGTGGGGTCAGCCACACACAGCCCCTGGATTTTGGTGTGGCAGCCTAAGCCAGAGGGTGGCTGGGGACCTGGCCTGGCCCCCCACGGCTGTGGGAGAGGGACGTGCCATCACTGCAAACAGGGTATGACAGCAGCTGCTGGCCACCAGTTTCAGGATGCTTACAGCTCCCCGCTCCCCACGGGTGCCCGGAGTGGGGGCC